GTTTGCCAAATATCACCAGACGACAACATGACACCTGAATACAGCCATTCAGAAGCACAGAATATGCACTCACAACATGGTAAGGTTTATAATCTATTTAATATATATTAACCCTCTTTAAATAACGTTAAATGTACATGCTGAACCACTTATATGTGTTTAGTTCTAAAGTTTCAAGTGGTTTATTTTATTTTCAAGATCTGAGGTGAACTATTTGCTGCTGCTTTCAGTAATTGGCAATAAATGTCATGTAAAATGGCAGTCAAACTCACATTGTTAACATTTAACACTGAATAAAGCACATGAGGTTTACTTGAGGTGATCATTGTCATAGTTTTCTGTTGTTCACCTGTGAGAAATAGAAGCCTATTCTAATATATCAATTTGAGATGTTTGTCAGGACAAAAACTCCTTTTAATATGGAAAATATTCTTTCTACCGCGTGCGGTTACTTTTATTTAGAACATGGTTTAAATCACTCGCTCCTGTCCTTAATCTGGCAACCTGGGCATGCATTTGTTTTGATCCAGACGTGCAATACCTAGTTCAACCACTGGGTGTCAAACTTACATACTAAACCAGGGGCACCAACATGGTGCCCGCGGGCACCAGGTAGCCCGCGAGGATCACGTGTTTCCCGCAGGCCTGTTCTAAAAATAGCTCATTATAGCGCTACTTACCAGTAAGCTTCATCTAATATAGAAGTAATCATTTAAAAATGTAAATATTTGCAAAGATATATAAAAATAAAGTGTTGCACATTGATACATTAAATACAGGGTATTTCCTACCCTGTTAAATCATTGTTGATAACTTTTGTAAGAATCATTAACATGATCAGTGGCTTCACATGGATGAATATCATTAATTATTACCAAAAACATAAAGTATAATTAAAAGTAAATTGAGCAAATTTGTTATTTGAGAAGTGTTTATCAAACTGGTAGCCCTCCACATTAATCGGTACCCAAGAAGTAGCACTCAGTTTCATAAAGGTTGGTGACCCCTGTACTAAACCTTTAAGTTAATTGATTTATGTTGGGACAACATAAGGGAATTGTGTGGAAATCAGCATTTTTAACAGTGTATACACAAGCCTAAGTTCGATTTATAGTATTCATCTGCATATATATATATATATACATTTTGGACTTGTAGAACTGATAAGTGGAGTCATAAGCAATGTGACAATCAAAGGAAGCTTTACAGGGAGCATCAGAACAACAAAAGAAAATGCTTATTATATATTTTTTGTAATTAAATTAATAATACAAATTGCAATACTACGATTAATGGTAAAATAGGTCATCTGTTCTTTTTTGACAAAATGTCAGTGCAATGAGTGCATATCAAATATATTTATGTAAAAATGAAATCTATCTGTCTGTTTGTCTTTCTTTCTGTTAGACTTCAAATTTGGTACAACAATTTCATCTAACAAAATAGTGTTTTGTGTGTCAGTACTGTAAGTGTAATGCTAGGATGTAAGACTCAAAGCAGAGCAGAAAGAATGTTTATGTAAGAAGTGTGTTGAAGCAGGTGATACTGTTCTCTAATCTGCTTCCTGATGCGCTCATTTCTACACCCACATCACACACAAACCACCCACCCACCCAGGTGCAAGTGTTCTGTAGCCGTTCTCCTCTGTCATACATACTGAAGATATATGCATATAATACATAAGCAGTATATTACATCAAAAACGATTATTTCACATGATTTATTAAATTTGAAATCAAGGACAGGTGGGGGATTAAACATATATATTATTACTTTTTCTAAATTCTCATTACTGTAATGGAAACAAAATCCTGTTACTGTATTGTGAGGGGGAAAAGTATTTATTCATCATCATAATGGGTGGTATTGCTTTTAAAATAAGGCAAGAACATGTTTTATATGATGTCTGAATGGTCATTATGGATTTTGAAATCATAATCTTGCATTTTCAAGTTAGTTTGAAATTAAAAATGACCATTCTGATTCTAGTAATGTAATATGTAGACATTATGCAAGAAATATTTAAATGTCTTCCTGGACAAGCCAGAGTTTAAAGCGGAGCGCACATTTCATGAAACATAGCTCCCAAAACAAGCTTGCCAGCTTGCATGCTATTTCAGGCCGAAAATTCAAAGTAGCATGTAAACAATATACGGAGCATGTCACAGGTTGTCATTGTCCAAAATGAACCATATGATGTGACTATTAAACCAACATTGCAATATAATTCCAATATTGATTCAGGATTTCAAAAAGTTTTGATTCAGCATTTGTTTTTACCCCTGTCACTCTCTCATGTGCACATGAACGTGGCATGTGAGGACGTGCAAATGACGGCTGTGCAGATGTACAAATCTACATTTGTTGACAGACATTTTGGGCTTCTTAGCAAAACCATGAATTATGATATTTTAATTGGATAAAACAATTTTTAGTCTTATGCCTTACGCAAAATATAAAAATACTTATAAATACATTTAGATAATTAACCTAAATCATTAATATTGGAATGTAAGGAGACTTTCAACCAGCACAATAAAAATGTTTCTGAAGACAATCACCCACTGCACATTGCACTTGTGAAAGCAATGATAACAGAAAACATACATGCCACACGTCTAGCAACACCCTATTCCCTAATACAGTATTTCTCAAACTTTTTTCACCAAGCACTACCTCAAAAATAAATTGTCTCTCCAGGTACCTCCATAATGACCAATATTGAAATACAGTACTGTAGTAGGCCTAGTTAAGCAGCTTCAGCACTGCACAGTTCAAAAACAAGGCAGAATAATTACTATTATTATGAATATTCATTATTATCAGCCACTTTAAACATTATAAATAATTTGAACATTAACACTGCACTATGCTTACAGGTAAAATTTAAATAAAAGGTCAACATTCAAACTAAAATGTGCTTAACTAAAAGTAAAAAGAAAACTGTTATTTAAATGTAAAGTATTATCATAAAGTAGCCTATTCATCAAAACTGGAAATGTATATGTCATCATATTCATATATAAACAATTTTTGGATGAATTTTGAAATATATGTGGCATCTAAATATGACTTATTTGCATATCTTTGAAATCTAAACATTAACTTGTTTTTAAAATATATGAATTGGGTTTACATATTTACATTTACATTAGAAATTAGATCTGCTTACTCTGCATTAGAGTGGGCTTTGTGTCAGAAAAGCAAGTGACCTGTCAACATTTGATTTAAAAAACGGGATACACCCCCACCAACCATTACAATTATGGGGAGGAGATTAGCTTCAAATGATAGAATACATAAACAATAGTAAATTTAAATTAAAACAAAAGAATTAGCCTATTAAAATCAATTTACTGATCATATCGCTTAGGGTTAAAAGTGTTCTTTTTTTTTACTTTAATTATTCAGTGATTCCACCACGTACCACTAGAAGGATGCCTGCGTAACACTAGTGGTATGCGTACCACAGTTTGCACAGTTTGAGAACCACTGGCCAAATATCTCTGTGTTGAAAAATGTGTGCAACAATACATACATTACCAATCATGTCAATTATAATGTATTAGGACTGCACGATATATCATTTCAGCATCAATATCGCAATGTGCGCATCTGCAATAGTCACATCGCAAGATACGCAAAGTTGTGTCTGAATTGTGTATTCAATTACTGTATATATGCAACAACAAAAAAATTAATTACTTGTTGCTAGTCAAGTAGTCCACATTTCACAGCAAAAACAAGATAATTTTACTTGTTTTAAGGAAAAACTCTATTTAAACTCTTATTTAAACACTTATTTTAAAGACTAATTATTATTTCTTTTTAAGTTGGAAACAAAACTAAGATTTTTAAAATATTTTTTTTAATATTTGGACTTGGAACATGAAAAAGCAAAAAAAACAAAAACAAAAAAAAAGCAAAAACAAAAAACTCATTATTCAATTTCTGTACCTGAATACTGTTAGACTCCCCTGAAAACAATAGTGCTATTAGTGCCAAATAGAGCTGTTCAAATTATTTTTCAAAAATGTATTCATATAGCAAAATGTATTGCAGAATCGAAAAATATTGCATCATCAGATTTTTCCTATATCAAGCAGCCCTATCATGGATTATAGTGTTTCACATACTAATATTATCGACTTATCAAAGGGTTTTTATTAGAGCTGGGCAAAGATTAATTGCAATAATAAAAGTTTGTTTTGATACAATCTATGTTTGTGTATTATATATTTTTATGATGTATATGTGATACATACATAGAAACAAAACCATACAAAACCATTTCTTTACATAGATATAAAAATTTATATATAATTTATATCATATATATTTAATAACGCAATTAACGCAGTTGCAGGGTTTTTTTTTTCCTGTTGTGGTCGATGTGTGTTCAACATGCAAAGAAATATGGATAAGATGAAGGAAGCACTTCTTGAAGGCAATTTTCAGTATAAAACAATTAATGTCACATCACCAGGCTCTTCAGAGTTTTGTGCAATTTTTTGTCATTTTTAACTTTCGACTTCTGTTTTAATGGAATTTGATACCGCATGGCAAACGGAAAGAAAACCTCTGCATATATAAAGTTACTAAATATAAATAGTTTCTCAAATATATACATGCATGTGTGTGATATATATATATATATATATATATATATATATATATATATATATATATATATATACAGTACACACAGTACAAAACAAACTTTTAATTAGAAAGTAATTTATTGCGATTAACTTTTGCCCAGCACTATTGTTATTACTAAGAATTTTTTATACCAATAAAGCCCTTTCTCTTAAAGAACATCTGAAATATGTTATGTGAACAGTGTATATGTATATTAAATGAAAGATGTTGATACCAATGGTATTTTAGAGTTAGCAAGTATTTGTGCCTCTTTAAGCAGTATAATGTAGAATCCAATATGCAGTAATCTGGAAATTTCTATTTGAATTATTCTCGTCTTCTTTTCTCTTCTCTTTCAGGTCTGAGGTTTCTAAGAGCCTTGAGATTGATACAGTTCTCAGAAATTTTACAGTTTTTGAATATCTTAAAAACAAGGTAAGGCCGAAAGCATACTCACTCTCAGTTTCTAAAGCTCCACTTGGCTGGCATCCACACACACGCGGTCTCTACAGCTTTTTTTTTTTTTTTGCTTGGGTCTGTGGTTTTGAACCAGAAGTCTGCAGGGCTCGTAGCTGAGCAGAATGTTTGACTTTAATCCCGCAATGTGTGCATTTAGTGTGCTGTAGGTAAGAGAACAGGCCTGATGAATGCAGGAGTGTGAAGCAGACAGGCCTCTGATTGATTCCTCCTCCAGCAGGCTGTCACACACATGACAGATGAGCGCCTCCTGACACCTCACTGCTATTTCGTAAATATGTCAATGAATCAGAAAGGTAGTGGGGGAAAAAGCAGTCAGCACCCAACTCAGTGGTTGTAAAACTGCTGGACATTTCATTTATTTTAGCTGCCATCTTGTTTTTCTTTTTTTTTTTTTTTTTCCAATTGGAGGAAATTGCTCAGGTATATCACACCGAACTGACACAACTGTCAACACGACGTAACATTTCCACCACTCTGTTTTCTCTCATTGGCTGCTGAAGTAGGGATGCTCACATTGACGGTGATTTGTAGTGACCGGAAGTCATTCGTTTTCAGCGTGAGTGGTGATTTGAGGTGACGTGAGCGACAGAGAGTGTTGATGATGTGACAGACTTGACTTCCTATTTACACAAAACACAGTGACGTAATGGATAACCAAAGTCAAGTAGAGACTTTAGGGATGTTTGAGACTAGTTATCTTTTTTTTAAATAGTAACAATTACACTATCACATAATGTCATTAACTGCATCATACAGTACATATAGGTGTTTTAACCTGATTATTTAAAACACAGACTAATAAAAAATCCACATGTGTGTGCATACAGTTCTGAACAATATCTTAAAATCTCTACAAACATCAGACTAGGCTGTTTAGAGCTGACCCCAGACCTGTGAAATAATCCATAAAGGAATAGTACACATACACACAAAGAAGAGTCTGTTTGATACTCAATGCTGAGTGTATTCTCAGCCGTCTTATCAAAACTGGTTCAATCTACATCCAAACTGGCAACTTACAAAGGAATTAACTTTAAAAGATTTAACACATAAAATGGCAAATAACTTGAGGTCTCTATGACCTCTGGCCTGACTGGATAGGTCCTGAGGAAACAAATAATTTGACATACAGAAAAAGCAATCACACACATATTATTCCAGTTTTTCTAACACTAAACACAAAAAGGATGTGTTTCTCCATCCATGGGAAAATTCACTCCCTTCACTACATAGTTTTACAGTTAGTTTTTATTTGAAGTGTAAAAACTCCCTGTTTGCATACTTGTATCTAAAACTAGCAATTAAATTTAATAAGTCTTAAATTTAATTGGACATTTTCTGAACTGTAGCCATGAAGATATACCAATGTGAAAGTAACAGAGTTCCCTATATAGTTTACAGCTGAAATTTTTTTTAATCGTCAACAAATATGTAATTATAATTGAATTTACTTTAACATACACTACCGATCAAAACTTTGGGGTCAGTAGGACTTTAAAATAAGCTTATCCGGCTCAAGAAAGCTGCATTTATTTAATAAAAAAATATGTACAAATTGCAACATTGTAAAATGTTTTTGCACTAGAAAATAACTGTTCATATACAGTTTAGCATTTAATATAATTATTTATTTCAGTGATTTTTAATGATTTTTATAACCAACAACAATTTTTATGTACTCCAAATATACCCTTAATACAAATTGACTACATGATTCATAGATTAAGTAATCTAATCATCTAGACAGCTATCTCCCTCACACAAACTAGTTTAGACTGTCTTCAGGAGGTCTGTTAAACTTTACTAGTCGTTCTAATAATGTTCATTTAAACATGAAAAACTTGTAGCACCGATCACTAGTAGAAAGCAGCAGTGTGAACGTTCAGACATGCGCCGGTCTTCCTCTTCTTGATGATTTGCTGATAACCTGTGTGTTCACCCCAGCGAGCAACGGTGTGGCTGGAAGCGGCCCGCTCGTGTGTGTGTTGGCCTCAGTAGATGACTGACTGATCTGTACGTCAGTGTGATGCGTTTCACTTTGAGAGGTGTGATGTAACTCTCGTCTCTCACAGTAATTCCATCAAGCTGGTGAACCTGTGTTCCATCTTCATAAGCACATGGCTCACTGCTGCAGGATTCATTCATCTGGTGAGTGAAAAAACACACACACGTCCCCCCCCATTCTCTCTCTCTCTTTCTCTCCATGACCCCGGAGAAACTCACAAAGAAAGGAGTGCACGTGCAGATTCGTGGGAGGAAAAAGCACACGTCTGTCCCTTTGTGCCGTATGTGGTTTGTGTTGTAGTTCATCTAAAGGTTGGGTGTTTTTGTTGTATATCTTGTGTGTGTTGTTTTGGTTTTGTTTAGTTTTTATCAGGATGTGCCAGAGGGCATCTGTGCCACTAGATGGTAGCAGAAACTCTGATTGCCTCTAAATCCTCAGTTTGGTTCCTCTCACAACTCATCCTTGTGATTTTCTGTATGGACGTTAGATGGCTGTAGAGCATTGTGTTTGGATTTGTGTGTAACAGCCTTTTTCACTCTCCGCAGGTGGAAAACTCAGGGGATCCATGGGAAAACTTCCAAAACTCTCAACCGCTCTCATATTGGGAATGTGTGTACTTATTAATGGTCACCATGTCCACGGTGGGATATGGGGACGTCTATGCAAGAACCACTCTTGGACGCCTTTTCATGGTCTTCTTCATTCTCGGTGGTCTGGTAAAATCACTTTTCCTCTTGTTGGCACTCATGCACCCCTCCTGCACTCCCCATGCAAATGCCTCGCTCCAATTTCCATATAGTAAAAAAAATACAAATATATATGTATAATAAAAAAAACAATCCTGTGTTGTCATCTTTCCACAATCTTCACATTAGCCCAAATGCTAACTCTGTTTTTACCATATTGTATATGTCCGCTGTCTTTGTAATGTCCCTGCCGTTAAGATCCATCACCCTGTTCGACCATTGCAGCCCAGTTTAAGATGAAATGTATAAATGTGTTAAATCTTGTAGATGATGTATGACAATACCACTTATTATGTTTTATGTAGAAATGTATTTTGACGATAATGTTGTTGCTATTCTCTTAAAACAGTTTTGCGGTTTCAGGAGATCCCATCCTTCTGTCTCCCTCCCCGAATTCCAACAAACACAGTGGCAGGCAGATGGCCCATAGTCCTGCTTGAGCGACACCATAGCAACAGCAGCCACAAACACTTTTATAGCAGTCATTTTAACCAAAAATATGTTAAGCTAATTGATATTATATTAAGCTGTTTATTAAATAGTGCAGTTAATAATAAGGTAATTTACTCCACTTTAAAAAAAAAATATTAAATCATCAAAATAATAGGAGTAAGAACATCTATTTGTACTATTTAAGGTACATAAAATGATTTGATTGTTTAGAGTCTCAGTTCAGTTTAAAACTGTATTATTAAAATTTCTGTAGTCTAGTTTGTTAATAGAAAATATATAATATTATTTATTGTAATGTAGATCATTTGTTATGATGAATAGTATAAAATGCATTAATGTGTATATATAAAGGGTTCAGATGCAAAAGCCTCTAAATGCCACTTCCACCAAAAATAAGATAATGACATTAAGCAAATGCTTTAGGCAAGTTGTATGTTCAACAAATATTTTAGCTTTAAGTCATCAAAACGCAACGTCGACACATTCAAAAATAACTTTGCAAACAAACAAAAGCCTCTAAATGCCACTTGCATTTGACAGTAAAAGCTGATGTGTCACGAAAACCAATCAGAAGGTGCAAATCGAATCATATGTTTTCAATGTAATGGCACGCTGATATGCCGGCTGTTATAAGGAGACTGTTTTATCAAGCTTTTGCTTTAGATTTTAAAGTATAGAGTTTGATGTATTGGATGAGCCTGTCAGACTGTTAGTGAATGGCAAATGAAAACATATCCTACCTTACTCTATTTTTACAAAAGATACAGTTAAGATGCTGTTCTTTTACTCCACATGGATGCTATGAGGATAAACAAAAGATGAAAATGAGACAAAGACCTTGAGTATGGTGTGAATAAATGAATGACAGCTTCTAAAATGTCTGAGAGAAATCCTACACAGCCTACCTTGTGTTTTATTTGCTAAAGTAAGCTATTTAAAAAAATAAATGTGTATACAACTATACATTATTAATATTACTTCATATTACCTATAGGCCTAAGAAGCTTTTATACACAATGCAAAGATATTGATGTTCGCAATGTTTTTACACTACATTATATGAATCTAACAAGCTTAGTTTACAATGTTTACATTGTTCTACTTACATTAAATCTAAATTCCAAATATCAGAAATGACAACAGATTGTAAAGATTTAATTAATGTCAGTTTTAATGTTATTGATTAATGCACTTGACAGGTTTCATTAATTCTTTTTTCTTCTGCTTACTCCTTGGTTTACCACAGCGGAATGAACTGCCACTTGACAGATTTATATATTTAAATTTTAGGTGTTTTATGTTTGGTTTAATCATTTCTTATTGCATCTTTAGTTATGTTTCTACTAAGTACACTGTCTTAACGCAATAGGTGGATTTAGAGGTTTTTGCAAAAAAAAAAAAAAAAGCAGAAGTGGATTTAGCTGGTTTAGACGCAAAAGAAAATCTACTTTGTGAAAAACCAAAGTATTGTATAAACTGGCATTTTTGAAGAAAAAGTTACTTTATTTACTAGCTAATAACCTTATCATTATATATAAAATTAAACTTCTGAACCTAATCAGAGGACCCTGATAGAAAATGCTTATTTACTAAAAAAAAATAAAAAAATAAAAAAAAAATAAAAAGAGGTCTGATGGATTTTTAGGGTTTTGCAACTCTTCATATATTCTTTTTTCCAGACAAGGTTCAGTAGTACAAAAAGACAAAACAAAATACAAACCACACAATATACATTAAAAAAGAGAGTGATGTCAATATTTCATGAAAAATTTGACTGATAACACGCCTTAGTAAACGCAGGGTTTATTAACAACATTAAAATACTATTCTGAGAATTCTTTTGGATAGAAACTTATAGATCAAATTTCTCATCAAAGCAAAAATTATCAAACTTTTAACCTACAGAATAATTCACTTGCACTACACAATCTAATTTTTTTTTAAACATTTTTTTAAGAAGAATCCTCATACAATCATTACATGCAACCTGCAGCTTATGAAGACCCCTTTTTTTAATTATACCACAAGGGAGCTGTGTATAAAGGACTGCAATAAGTTCTAAAGAGCTTTACCTTTACCTGCTCTGAACACAAATAAAACTTTCTCACCAGCATGTTTGCTTGAGCATATAACTTTCGATGTTCCCTATACATACAATATCATTATCATCATTCATATCTTCAGTAATGACATGTCTTAAATATTTAACAATTTTACTAACATTTAAAACTTGCCCTGACAAATAAAAATCTGGACAAATCATATGTCTTTGTTATGTGGCTCTACACGTCACTCTTTTTGAATAATATTGCACATCATATCTCGCTCCATAATCTGCACAAATATTAAGCAGTTGCTGAAAGCCAGAACTACTAGTGGAAAAGATCAGCTAATGATTTATTATAGCATGACCAAGCACACATCCAGCCCTACAGTCACTAAATTCCTCAGACAACTCGTTCATGTAAACATTACAAAGAGCAAGTGAAAGGAAACCTTCGTGTCATACTACATTACAGACTTTAAATTTATCTGATACAGAATTGCCCTACTTAATCCACATACTTTGATTAGTACCAATAAGTTAAAGTTCTTAAAATACTATAAATATATTCCTCTTTGTTTTAATTTAATAAAAAGCTTTTGATGATTAACCCTATCAAAAGCTTTAGAGGCCTCAATAAACTCAAACCAACTTTAAACCCTTCAGGTTAAGGCAACTTAAACCATTTAAGGAAACCGATTGCTACAAACCTTTTGAGTAAAAAAAAAAAAAAAAACTTACTTATATAAGTACTGTGGACATACTCCATTTAAGTTGAAGTAATGAGGTATTTTATTAACTTATTACCTTACCTGAGTTCAAAACTCTTTGATGAGTAGAGATAACTTTCATTAAATTTTGAGTTAACTACACTCATTTCATTTGATAAAGTTGACTGTTGGGTTTTACAGTGTACTTATTATTATTATTATTATTATTATTATTATTTACTGTCAGTCTGAAAACAGTTATTTCAGTCAAACAACTATTAAATCATTAAATGTAAAGTCTAAAAATATATATAATTAAAAAAATCCTTTAAAATGAAGGGATATTTTGATAAATTAGCAGAATTATAGAGAATCAGGAGTATTTTTCGTACCACTTTTGTTTGCATAGGATTATGATACACTTCATTGTTATGTAAATTGCTTATGTAAAAATATCTGAATAGAATCTGAATATACTGTGTGATCCAGAATGCATTTGGTAACTAGTGAACGTATATATTTGATATCTTTATATCGTATATATCTTTTTTTTCTTTAAATATTTTTTGTGAGTATGATGTCCTTCTGAACTTCTTTCATGAAAAAAGAAAGAGTAATAGTTTATGGAAATTATTTAAATTCAAAAATAGGCATGGGACGATAACCAGCTTCAAGGTTTACCGAGGTTTACTGCGGTTTGGAAAGGTCAAGGTTTTAATACCGCAAACATTTTCTGTTATACCATTCCTTAGATATATGTAAGAGTTTTTTTAAAATGTGTTTTTATATGTTGTGAAAAAATCTGTGTTATTAAAACTAATAATGGCAGCAGAAGTCAATGATTTATTTTAATAATTTAGCCTGACATGTTTACTGTTCCAAAACATTTTAAATGTTTATCGTAATAAAATATATTGTGTTCAATTAGGTAAACAGTTGTTGTTTTTTTATACCCAGACATTTAAAAAATATTTATTTTAAAGCAGTAATCACCATACCATGGTAATATATGGTATAACATTTCTTTATTAGGTTTTACAAAAAATCAAATTCCAATACCCAAAACGTACCCCAGACAGGTTTAGGTTAAAATAAAAATGTAATAATAATTATTAAAAATAATTAAAAAATAGATAAAATATAATAAAACAAATAAAAATAATAAAATAAATCTAATCAAACAGCAATTCACATTCCACAGCTTCAGACTTCCAAAGCTTCTTCAATATTTTTATTTTTCACAAAGTTAAAAAAAAAAAAAACTTCCAGATATTACACAATTCTGAGGATTATTCCCTTATTATATTTGTGAGCTTTTTACTGTGGTATTTTTATCCAAGGTTGATGGAAATTGTATCAGCCCATGTCTATTCAAGAATCAATATATATCATCCAGTCGTTCACTGTAAAAAATGATTGGATCAATTAGTCATGACAACATAGAGTTTTAATTCATTGTAACTTGTTAACTAAGTTAATCATGTTCTAACATAATTTATACAAGTTTACACAAGCTGTTTTAAGTCAGTTTAATATAATATAGGTTTAATAGACTCATAAGGTTAATTTGATTCAACTTAAAGATTTAAGGCGACCAGTATTTGTTTTTACAGTGTAGGGCCCTGGGTGTGTGAAAGAGTCAATCTCAACCTTATAGATCTGCCTCAGGCATTCAAAAAGTCTCATGTGATGTTAATATATATGTAATGCAGGACAGATGCACTTCTCTTCTATCACTGGACACAAATATCCAGCTGTCCAGAAGTTTCCATAGCAATCTGCTATTTCTTTGTGTTTTTGAGCAGGGCTGGAAATAATCACCGCTCTGCTTTATATCAGGTGTCCAATTAATGGCTTCAGTATGGAAATGTTGTAAACCGTCAGATCTGATCAGGCAGATGTCATAATTCATCAGGGCCCAAGAGAGAGGTGAAGAACCTCATACAACTTTTCTTTTTTCGAGGAAGGTCAGGCTGACAACTTTGGGATTAAGATCCCAAGTAAAGCACAGAGTGGAGATAAAACAGAATTTTGTCAAGGCTGCCATCTTGCAAAGCGCATCCAGCTCATTTAAAGGACACTAATGAGTCTTAATGTGCTTTGCAGCTGTGGGCCATCAGGCTGGACTATTCAAATCCACTTGCCACTGCATTAGTGTTTGTTGGACAAAACATGGCATGTAGGTTTTTTTTTCTCTTGCTTTTCACAAGACAGCTTTTTGCTCTGTCAGAGAAAACAGATGGACAGCACTACAAATGCTATCTGCGGTCCAGTGGAGTGTCTCCAAAGTTGGCTTTTTGTCCATGATTCAATTTCCCCCTCAATTTAAATGAAAAATTGACTTTTTTACTGTATATCATTTAGATATGATCAGTTTTCATTTGTTTTATTTAATTTTTTTTCCAACAAAATACATGTCAATTTCTAGATCTCAGCGGTCGGGGAAAAAAAATTTCCAGACTCGTACGGGTCTCTCCGCTCTCTTTTTTAGCCTCTGCTTCTGTCTCCCATCTTCTCCTTAGGCCATGTTTGCCAGCTACGTCCCTGAAATCATAGAGTTAATAGGAAACCGCAAGAAATATGGTGGTTCCTATAGTGCGGTAAATGGCAGAAAGTAAGTATTCCAGGTGCCTCTGTGGCTTTGGTCACAGCAGAACCCCTCTTTGCATGCCCTTTTCTTTTTCTGTTCCATGCATGTAGGCCATGTTTGCTCGCTACGTGCCAGAAATTGCTGCTCTCATCCTTAATCGGAAGAAATACGGAGGGAGTTATAACTCGACACGAGGCAGAAAGTAAGTCAAAATCCAGAACAGGTGTGGTTGTGTGACTCACGCACCCCCATCTCTGATAGAGAGAAATGGGGTTAGTGAAGACAAAAAAAAAAAAAGATAGGATAAATGAATGTCACACTGTGACTGGAGACCTTGGCCATCGAAGCCACATGTCCATGCCCTTTGCTCTGTGTCCATGGCTTCTTTTCCGTAACACATCTGCTGCATTTTAATTTCATTACAGTGACTACTGTTGGTTTTCCATCCGTTACTGTATGTGCTGCCGTAGAATCAATGTTTGTTTGGCATTTGTGATAGAAGCGAATACTATGATTGATGAAAAGTCACTAGTTCGAGATTTTAAAAAAGGCAGTTTACTTAGTGTCATCATTGTCTTGTGTTTGTTTCAGTTTTGTGTTTTTTAAGTTTTGTCCATCATGCTTGATTCATCGCTAGCATGCTGTGTGTGAATGGATGTCTGTTGGCTTTTTTTTATTTTATTTTATTTTGCATGCTGCAGTGAAAAGAGCCTCTCTGGCTGTGCGTCACTGCTGGCCCTTCACCTCATCTCTGTGTGACATGACTCTGGCCCTGATCTTCAGTCAGCGCACACCCTGAATGCCTGGATGCCTCAGCTCTCGCACTGGAGCTGCTCCATTGCAATTGGCTTGCTTTTTTGCCCCGCTTGGTACTTTTATTACCATGTCCCGTTTTTTCTGTTCCTTTTCAAAGATGACCCCTGAATGTGAATGTGGATATTTTGAAACCCTCCACTCGTTTCTGGCTCAAACACGGCCTTGTCATCAGCACAGCGATTCTCCCGCATTTAAGTTCTCTCTCTAGTGCGTACACTTTTTTTCCCAACCCATTTCGCAGCGTGAAGCAGGCCCACGGTCACGTCCGGCTTTCATCATCTGAATTTGAGGGCAAATACTGAGTCGGGAGAAAGCCATTAGGAGCCCCTTTGTTTGATGCCGTTTCGCTGTCAGTGAAACAAGATTGATGAAATGTTATGTTTGGCCTCGGCCCCACGTTTGGATTCGCAGTCTGGTGTTGAGAGAAGGCCTTGTCAAAAGAGCTGAGGCTCTCTCTTTCTCTCACTTTCTCTCTGACTCCGCATGCATCTGGTTGCAATTACAGTAGGCTCCAGCTCTCTGGCTGAGCAGAAAGACGGGCACCAGGCTTCGCCTTATTGTTTAAATATGCATGGGACTGTGTGCTCGTGAACGGACACATCACGACACCTCCAAATAAATGTGTTGGGATATTTATTTCCTCTGTCAGCACATTTCCGACAGACTGGTGCAAAATGCGTACTGTTAGAGGGCAATTTTGCATAAACTCAAAAAAAAAAATAATAATAAAAAATTCAAGACCTCAAGCCTTTTTTTCTACCAGAAATAAAGTCCTTGAGTAGGTGTTTATGAATAAGAGTTGGAGGATAAATGTTATATAAATGCTGACTTTAGTCATGCTCAGTGTAGTTTTATTACTTAAAATGAATTATTAGATAATTGTCCAATTATTTCAGCCATTTTTTATTATTAATGAGTACATTTCCAGTACTGACTTAACTTCAACCAGGATGTTTTTTAGTGTGTAATTTAAGTAAAAATATACAATCACATATGATTGGATGCTTAGCTCACAGAGGTCACTACACAAGACTTAGATGATTTTTGTTGATGATTGATTTTCTGTTTTTTTTAAAGACACATTGGTGTTTTTAATTATTGGTGGTATGTGATGGACAAATACAGTCAGTATCAGAGTGACAGTGTCAAATTTTGAATTAAGGCTGCACAATATATTGTTTCAGCATCGATATTGCAGTATTCACATGGCAAGTGCAATTTCCAGGGATGATTATAGTTGATCAGGCACAATAGTTTATCCATAGTGTAGTGAAATGTATTGTTTGCATGTTTGTTTTTAAAATTGTGATTTATTACTAAGCATTTCAAGAAAGCATAAAAGCATAATAAATTATATTGTTTGAAGCTTTAGCTTAAAAAGATTGATTATATTTAATTAATAATTTGATTTAAAAAAAAAAAACTATACAGGGATATTTTACATTTAATTATTAAAAAGTTCTGTGCCCAAGTACTATGTGAAGAAAATCATAAAAGCTTTTTTTTTTGGTCATTTTAACTAATACTTTTATGTATTTATTTATGCTTGTAATTTGGTTATTATGTATTATGCATAACATTCTTAATACACTTAAAAAAAAAACAAATATTCAAAGATAATCCCTCAAACAGGTTATTTGGGCTGAATTTAAACAAACAAATTAAGTTGTGACATTGCTAAATTTAATTTGTTTGTTTAAATTCAACACGTATAAATTGTTTGCAACAATTTTGTATTGTAATAGTATAGTAATCTACCAAAAATGATGAATTCTTTCAAAAAAAGACAAAATAAAAAAGCTTTTCAAGTCATCTTGTATTTATCGGCAAATATATTGGAGGAAAACAAAATTTTGCTATATACATGTTTTCCAATAATGTGCAGCCCTATTATGAATACACAACCATAATATGTTTTGGGGCCTCAATGAATATTGACAAAAACAAAAGTTTCATCCATTAATATGTTTATTTAATTACATTTAAAACAAAGTATCAGAAAGTATCAGTATCAAAGTATCATGTGACACAAAAGACTGAAGTATTGGCTGTTGAAAATTCAGCTTTGCAATAAAGGGAATTTTTTAAAATATAAAATATATTCAATATTTTATCATATAAATAATAATAATAGTAATATTTTTATTTATAGTTTGAGCTTTTTATTTAAACATTCATTCATTTTACACTCAAATTCATTTTAGTTTCTTGGTTTAAATATATATTTATTATTAAAAATTTTAGCAGACATTCACTTGTATATACACTTTTTTATATATAAACATAAAACTTACATTTTAACAATAAGACATTTTATTCATAAGAATAAAAATTAAACAAAAAAATAAACATGCATTCCCCAACCAATCGTCTGCTATTGCTATCCAATAGGAAAAATGGGTACTAAAGGCATAGTTAACATATCAATCACAAGTTTGTAGAAAGGAATTAAAAGTAGAACTTTTTTTTTTTTTTCAAATAACAAAACCTTGTCTATTAAGGTGTACCAAATTTTTTTTTCAGATGTAATGTACCCGTTAACTCTGTCAGCCATAATTTAAATATTCTTTTTACTTCCAAAACAAAAGGAAATTGTTTTTTGGCAGAGATGAACCCAAATGAAACAAACTGTTGTTGTACTTGTGTAAGTCTCAAAAATTAGTCGGACACTCCAAATATAATTAATTTAGGATCTGGTTCTATTGGAACGTCTAATCTATTTGAAAAAAACTTGAAATATTTTATTCCAGAAACTCTGTAATTTGGGACACATAACAAAGGATTGAGCCAAACTGACATTTGTCACACAATGGCGACACCTTTGGAAATATTTTATTCATTTTACACTTGGAATGATGAAGCACTTTAAACTGAATGAGACAATGTCCTGCATTAATGAAATATCTGTGAACCTGTTTAAGACTTTGATACCAAATTTCACTTTAAATTTTTACTGCAAGATTTTGTTCCTAAACAGTTCATTTTAACTTCAACATTTTACAAGTTTGCTGTATTTTGAGGCAATGCATAAGGCTTGATGAGCATAAGAGAGCTTATAAGCTCTCATTAAAACATTAAACAATCTAGCTAAAACCACACTTTGAATTATGTTTATTTATACTAAAGAATCCTTTAAACAGCACATGACTTTTGTTAAAACCAAACTGTGATTTTGACAACCATCTTTAATGAGTGATTCTGCTATTTGTCAGCTATGAAGTAGTTTGGCCTAAATCTTTCTGCTTAGAGGTTAGTGGATCTTCAGACATGTTCCTTCATTTGTCTTGAGCCCTGACGCTAAGGTCATGATGTGCAGAGGCTAGCAATAGTTTGCGTAATCTCCACTTTTAAATTCACTGCAGTGCATAGCCAGGTTTTTAATGTCAGCGTGTGTTCAGCATAGCCTTTAACCATCAGAACAGGAACACAGATCTGGATCTATGACTGTAATATAGAGCAGCATTCTGTTGGATCAGCCCAGGGTCTCTGTGGTTTCCATTAGAGCACGGCTGAAACTGACATAAACCCTGACTAAACTCTGAGCTCATGCGCCGCCTCTGAGATTCACTCCGCAATCCAAGCCACACTGAGAACGAGAACGTTGGCATGGAGCGAGAGTTGAAAAGAGGGTGAATGGCATATAGAAATGCCGTTACTGATATGGTTTTCACAATGGATTAAAATGAGTGAGATCAATGGAAGTTCAGTCATCTGGTTCTCTGACTTCTGCTTAGGTGTGTATGGAGAACTATTCGTGCATAGCTGACAGTCTGATCTATAGTCTGTGATGCTGGACAGCTTACTGCATTGAACGTTGTCTTGCTGAGATATAACAGATTCTTTTGCACAGATAACTTCCAGATCCTCCCACCGAAAGAAAAAAAAAAAGTAGAAAAGAAAGAAAGAAAGAAAAGAAAGAAAGAAAGAAAGAAAGAGAGAAAGAGAACAAAACACACAGATCCCAGCATCAAATTAACATAAATGATATAGTCACAATCAATGAACAATATTTCATTATTTACTTACTATCAAGATACCCGAGTACTGTGTGAGGTAACCCAATGGAAGTGTAACAAAATAATATGGTTAGCTATTTGGTATTATTCATAACTTCTGACAGTGGAAACAAAAATTTTCGTTTGGTGAAAATGTGTTATTATATGACAAAAGTAGATAACACTCATTTTTTTCCATGTTAATGCTAATTATATTTATGCTATCTTGTTGTTCCTTATTTAGCTGTGGCAAAAATTTGTTTCTGAAATCGATTTAAAAATCAAAACAAGAACACTGAAGCAATGGGTTCTGTGCACAGCAATGTTTTTTTCAGCAACAATAATCATTAATTCATTCAGTCATTTTCTTATCGGATTAGTCCCTTTATTA